CCTTATTACAGGTTCATTGAGTGGAATAAAACTTCTAGCCAATGCCACAGGGCTCAGAACTGCCACAAGGTTGCAGGCCAAGTTCTCCCTGAACACTGGCTGTCATGGCGATGCCTTCTTTACCTGAGAACTTCTCAGGGTTGTGGATTTCTCTGAAGCTCTTTCTAGTTCAGTCGATGACTGTTCTCTGGCTGATCCTTCACTCAAATCTGTGTCCAAATAGGCCTCACTTTCACATCTTAGACTTACTCCTGGTATAAAAAGGCATTTTCTTGGAGCCCCAGAAGTCCCCCTTGAGAATCAGGGAAGAAATACCCTATTTAGTTCTTACTCTATCACCTTGTTGTTCAAAGTTAGTGAGGACTGTATGGTACTTAACTTTTAAGTGCCTTAAGAGTCTTTAGCTCATTGACACTAATTAAATTCTTAATGCTTCGATAGGAGAAACATACGAAGTTGCAAGCTCATCGGTTTGAATAGATGGACTGTTTCTGTTTTGAAAACACGTAAGAGCAAGATGGTAACACCAAACAGCCTTCCAATTTGTAATCATCACATACCAAATATTGGACCCGTGGACTTTCAGGCCCATCAAACCACCCAAAGCAGCAACGTAAAATGGGAAGAGTGGCAGAGACATTATCCTCACCTGAACTTTGAATTATTCTAATAATACATAAAAATAACCAGTTTTTTTCAAGGTATATCCCTTTCCTCTGTAACTTTCAGTAAGTACATTTACATTGAAAATTGCTACTACCACATGTAAATGCACCTAAATGATTGAAAGAAAATATCACTGTCCTCCATTCATTTTTTAAGTATTTTAGAATATCCCATTCCTCACAATGGTGGTGACTTTCCAAACCTTTCTGACACATCCTTCATACACACACATTTGTTTTTAATGAAAGCCTGCTCATTGGGGCATATTAGTATAGCCAATATTTATTGAGCAAGGACTCTGCCAGACACTGCCCTAAGTCATTTACATAGCTCGTTTTATTTAATCCCCTTAACTTTAGGCAGTACGCAGCATTTTAAAGCTAAGAACCTGAGTGTTTTAGGTAATCTGTCCAAGGTCATTCAGTAATAAGCAGCAGAGCCAGACTTGAATCGTTTCCCTCCAAAGTCCATACACTCTTAGCCACTTCTTGAAGCATTCTTATGACTTTGTATCAGAACTACGGGTAATTTTTAAAAGGTCCCCATCTCTCCTTTGATGTTGAGCCTTTCTCCTCCTTGTCTCTTCTTCCACTTTCCTTCCTGCTTCTCAGGCTGACTCCTACCTTGGACTTCCTCAGTTGTCTCTTCCAGCCACAGCCAAAACCTGGCCTCATTCCAGCTGCCAGGTGGCAACAGTGTAAGTGAGGCAGAGGCTGAGCCTGCTGGGAACCCCGAGCAGATGGCTGTTGGCAGAAAACAACAGAACCGCGTGGAGGAATGAGGTTACCAGCATGTCCACAAGCTCCCAACATTCTCTGACTCTTCCCAGGGGTGCATTTATTTTCATGATTATGTGGAAATACATGAGGGGGGAGTTCTTAGGGAAATGTCGAATTTAGCAATGCAAACTCAGAGCAAGGTGAGGAACTGCTAATCCAAACTTTCTTTCTTTACTACATATTATTTCATTTGCATAGAGTTAGAAATGTTGGAAACTTGAGGGGTACAACCTGCTTCATTACAATCCTATTTCTGCAGTATGGCCAGGAAACAAAAATTGTTGCCAAAATTTTTCTGGGGGGAGTAGGGGGTAAGAGATCCTTTATAAGAAAAGGCTCTTAGGGTTGGTTTAAATAACACGTTTAATTAAATTAGTAGATATGTTGAGTTTATTAGATGCTACAGCCAGGAACTGAGATGGAAAAGGAGCTGGTGTGTCTCTGCACATTTTTCCGGCAGAACGTGAATGGCAGCATCTGCCAGCAGCAGCAGCAGCACTTCCACCTTCAAGCGTGGTGACCTTGAGCCATTGACTTAGCTTCCCCGAACCTCAACGTCTCCGTAAAGACATAGGGGCATTAATGTTCACTACCCTGGCGAACATTTGCTGGAAAGATCAAATGACATCATGTCATTGAAAGTGCTTAGCACAGAAACTGGCAGAGTAGGCAATAAACAAACGGTGGTTTTATTTAATTTTATGTCATTTTAAGGGAGGGGCAGACGTAAAGGTTTGTTATTAAGAAATAAGGAGATAGAAACCATAAATTTGCGGTCTGCAAATTTTCCTTCACTTCAGAAAACTGTTCACTGAGAGTGTATTTTCAGTTAAAATAGGGAGAGCAGAATCTTTTGCAATACTTCCCCCACCAAAACCTCAACTTTTGGTAATCAGACACTTCAAAGTTAGGCTGCTCAGGGTAGGGCTGCTCCGTATGTTACTGCTGCATACATATTTACAGCACAAAATGTAAGGGAATGAACACAAAGCAAAGTCAACGGGGGCATGCTGATGATCAGATGGAAACGTCAGCCCCCCACAGCCTACTAGAAAAGAAATCATCTATGAAGATGAGAAATACAGAACCCACAATAAGAAATACAAGTAAATCAGAAAGTCTATACAGTAAATAACAATTATAAAGAAAGCATATGTGGCCCTGGCTGGTGTAGCTCAGTGGATTGAGCACAGGCCTGTGAACCAAAAGGTTGTGGTTGGGTTTCTAGTCAGGGCAGGTGCCTGGGTTGTGGGCCAGGTCCTCCTGGAGCAGGGGAGTGTGTGGGAGGCAACCACACATTGATGTTTCTCTCTCTCTTTAAAAAAGGGGGGGAAAAAAGAAAGCATATATGGAAAAATTGTATTTTCCTCTACCTAAAGTTATCTGAGATTTCGCTTTCAGTATTATTTCCAATTTGTTGCACAAGATTAAAAAATAGGGTCACTACTGCTTTGCTCAACATTTATTTCCCTTTGGGTAAAATAGCCAGTCTACTGAAAAGAGGCCGTTTGGGGCCTCACTTAGGAAACACAGAAACTGACAGCTGTCATGCACGGCAGCATAATGAGAAACAATTGGCAACAGACCAGTCCCCAAAAGAAAAGTAAAATGGGAAACTCTGATTTTTTAAAAATATTCTTTGCATGAGGTCCCTGGGCTGGTAGCTGTACAAGCATCTCGCTTGGCCCAAAGTGCTGACAGGCATTATCTACCTAAAGCCTGCAGTGGCTGGGAAAGAGTTCAGGACACTGTGACTGTCAGAAAGCTCCGGTTACAGCAAAATCTCCAAAGTCATTTCCAGAACATAATCAAAGCTCTCCTCTGCTTTGAGTCAGAGTAGTGGCGAGTTCCTAGAAGTGATTTTTGTCACCCAGTTCAGCATAAAACAATCTCTGAGAAAGCTCAGATCAGCTAGGCTGAATAAACAAGAAGCAAACGTAAACTTTACCGTGGAGTTTCAACCACAGCTAAATTCACTGTTCTGTTTCACCAAAAATGCATGCAAATACCTAAGCCCACCCTCCACGCCCAAACAAACTCTAGTTGGCCAACCTTCTAGAATTCTCACAGGTCTGACAACGTTAAAGCAAAGACTGTGAAGTCCCCACTATTCTTTTCCTCAAATACATAAATATCTACATCAAAGGCTGACTATTTTCATAAAGTTTATCTATATTCACGCAAACTGTTTATCTCTACTCATGTTAAAAAGCTAAAGAGTGTTGAGCTGGCATCTATCCTAATTACATGAGGCGCACAGCATACTGGGACAAAACGTTAAGAGATTTCCAAACGCTTTCTGTTACGGCAGGAACCCATTTTTAAAGAACAAATCCTTGAAGGTTCTTCTGTGAGGATAGATATAATTTCAACAATGATTTAGTATCTTCAAATTTATGCTTAAGAAGAAATATCAATGTTCAACTCACACTGAAGAACGTATCTGTTTTGAGAATAAAATATCCTTTTTAATTAATTTCAGCTTTTGTGCTCATCCTTGGCCATCACTACTTGACAGATTTCTTTCTACTAAAATGCAGCGGTAGCAGTATTTTTGAAAGGCCTCAAACAGGCCTCTCAAGGTACCCCTTTCACAAGGCACCCAGAGGGACAGAAACCGAACGGTCACAGACAGGACACCCTGACACAGGCAGTTATTCGTTTCCTGAGCTAACCCACTTCCTCCTTCAAACATTTCCTTCTCTTCACCACTGCGTTTTTCGAAATTAGTATCGAGTCTTCTCACAAAACATAGTCCTGGGCCTAGCACCTGGAACCCGCACAAATGCCATTTTTAATTCAGAGTAGTGATTCAAAATCAGAATCTCAAATGAAGTGTCACTTCAATAACAGAGAAGGCTCCCTCAACTGCTGATTGATATTTTATCAAAGAATCGGAATTGTTATCATAGAGCCCTGCTTGGAGAAAACAAATGTTACTACTAAAGTGACAACTGAAAGCCCAATTTCATGGCTGCTGGCTGCTCCACGGTGGAAAACAATGGCATCTTCCGTAATGAGGAAATCATGCCTTTACTTTCAAATTTTATCTATTGATTTTAGAGAGAGAGGAAGGGAGGGAGGGGGGAGAGAAAGAGAGAGAGGGACAGAAACATCAAAGTGTTGTTCCCTTCACTTACACATTCATTGGCTGCTTCTTGTTTGTGCCTTCACTAGAGATCAAACCGGCAACCCTGGCCTGTAAGGACGACGTCTGCACCAACTAAGCACCTGGCCAATGCAGTCATTTTTAACCTTTCGAACCTTAAGCAAACGGTAATGAGCAGCTAGGTTTCTCCATTCTAAGTATAACCTTGGAGATAAAATCGAAAGCCTCATAATTATTAAAGTTATATGTTTTATTAGAAATGGTGATTATTGTCTTGACTTTAATCAAAGTAGGTATAGAAAAGTGAAGAGAGATTTGGCTATTATGACTCTTCCGTGCCAATAAACATAATATTTTAAAAAATAAAAATCAGTCTTTACCTAAATATAAAAAGCTTTATTTATTTACCAGCCAAGAGTTAATACCAGAAAAACAGACAAAAGGAATAAAGTCTCTTAAAATGTTTATTTCTGTCAGAATAACTGACGATTTCCTGTTATCTTTTGGTTTATTATTACAATAAGCATCTCCCCCCTTGAAAAATCCATTCAAAATAGCTCAATCCTTGAGGTAAAGAACTTTAACTAAAAAAAAAAAATCCTAATTTTTTTAAAGAATAAATTCTTAAAATTCCTTTAACTTGATAAATAGCAATAATCTCTTCTTGTTGTTCTACTCTGGTGAACAAAAATGTACTTTACACAGCAAAGTATCCAGTCACTTATTGGCAAACCAAAGGTGAGAACTATTCATTTACATGTTCTACTCAAATACAGTGCAATACTGCCATGTTCATACAGACTTAAAAAAAACTGTTACCAACACTCTTCTGGCAAAGACAAGGTTTTGGAATGGCAAAAGCAACAGACGTTGTAGCTCTTCAAGCTTCAGAAGGGAATTAATCTGAGTCATCTTCATCAAGATAATCCTCAGCATTGCTTAATGTTCGAACACCATCTAAACAACAAAATAGAGGGAGAAAGCAAAGGAAAGAAATTTAAAATTGCTTGGATCTTCTTTTCACTTTCAAAGCTCCTAATGATTCAACAAACTGCCATCCCCTCAGACCCGGAGGTTGTGCTTTGCTCAGGACCTTTCTCAACTTTGGCTTTTCGGCCGAACTGTTCCGATTCCGCTGCCTCAAAGGCGGACGGATACGTCTGTCTGCATGTTCCTTAGACATGCAGACAAGCAGAGCACGAGGGACTGAGGAGCCATCGCTCTGACTCGCACGAAATGCACCCTGACCAACGGGGAGCACTCCGGGAGCCCGGCCCCTCTGACAGCTGTGCTGCCGACCCCTCACCCAAGGCCAGTGGGCATGTGGCTTCAGTCGGTCCACAGCCTGTGGCCTTATCTGAAGGCAAGGCCACTGCATAGAAAGACAACTAACGAGGGGTAAGAAGAGAAAGAAAATGGAAACAGAGGTTTCAGTTTCATTATTGAAAACACGGATAAAGTATATACTCAGAATCAAAAAAATTGAAATAAAAAATAAATATATGAAGTTTTGAAATAGAAAGAGCTGAATGTCATCAAATGTAAAATTAACCTTGAACAGGGTTCAAAAGGAAGACATCAGAGCTTTAACTATTCACCCACTCAACTTTCCAGTCAAATTTCTATAGCAACAGGTTACACTAGGTAAAATTTGGGGGGAGGGATTGAAATGCACGTGTAAACACCTTGTCAGAGCTTAATAAATATATGGTATAGCACCCCAATCACGGTCTCTAAGTACTACATCCCCATAGCTCATTGGAGATTTGACTAATTTCAAGTCTGGGACAGAAAATATAAAAGTGCACCAGGAATCACTTGGCATGCCACAAAGCAAGGCTTCCGCTGAAGACAGCATCACATTTAAAGTGTTTGGGATCCAACCTGACCTCCACTAGCCAAAGATATCGATAAAGGTACTAATTATAAGAAATTAAAACACACCAAATATATCAGCACACACCAGAGGGAATCTGCTGGTCCCCAGTGGATAATGACAGTGAACCAGTATGCTATTTTGAAAACAAATGAAGGGCAAAAATCAAGTCTTTATTCTACTTCTGCTACATGAACTATTCCTCTTGGGAAGCAAAGAGCTGATGAGGAGAAATTTTTTTTTAGAGAATGTTCCAGCTAATAACAGAGGGAAAGAATTAGGACATCACCGTTTTGCAACCATTAGTGAAACAATGAATCTCAACAATGCTCATCAGTGGACGCTGACATCATAGGATGAGTGACGACCAGATATCGCATCCATGCCTCTGATGGGAGAACATGATTTTCTTTATGAAGTGCTCTTTCCTCTCCCCTAAGACAGGTGGATCTAAATCTCATCGAACCTCTAGATCTGACATCAACGGACAGAACTGAAGCTGACAGGAGAGCACAACACCACCACCATGGAAACACACACTTACAATGTCTACACTGGGAAACTCAGGTAAACTGACCCAGTCTCTTTAATGAATGAATTACAAAGCTAAAAATGAGGGAAGAGGAAAGGAAAAGTAAACACTAACTTATTTTTTTCAAAAACCTAAGAGATATACCTATCAATTACCTAATGTGCACCCTGACTTACACAAAGTGTAAGTAAATAAACAGATAAATAAGTAAGCAAAGAATAAATAAACAGGTATAAGAAAAAATGGCAAATTTGGCAAATGACGCAATAATATTAAGGACATTAACTTTTGGTATGTTAATGACATTGGAACTTTGTAAAAAAATCTTTACATGTTTAAGAAAATGATTATTGACTGAAAGGGAGAGACAAGGGAGAGTCAGAACGGGGGGATAGAAACTAATTTATTTCATATGAGAATAGGAAAGATAAAGAAGAACAAGTGCTGTAAGCAGAACAGAGGTCAGCCTCAATGATTTCACCTCCCAACTATCAGAAGACTGCAGATTCATTATGCTCTTCTCCATTCTCCTTAAGAGGGCTCTGGAGACCTGGGAGAAATACACTCTGTTCTGTCCCATGCACACCCACAAACGTCAGTACTGGCTGCCAACTTGGGAAAAGCAGCTTTTCAAGCTAAAGGCAAAAAGACAAACAGCAAAGTTCTTTCCCCTTCTGCTTTGTTATAACAATCCTGCGTTTTGCAGTATTTGAGATATTCCCGTCCTTCAGTGCACCTCGTTATAACCTCATTTCTCCTGCTGGCAAGACAAAGATTACTTGCCATGGTGCTCGAGAGACAGAAATGAGCTGGGCAAGTGCATCCCCTTTCCTTCCTTCCTTTAACAGACTGCTCTGAGGCACAGCTTGTCTGGAAACTTCTCGTATGGACAAATGCTGAGTCATGAGCTGAATCTCTCTTCATTGCCTATCTTGCAGCATCACCAACGAGATAACGTAGCACCCAGCAGCACTTCTCAGCCTCCCGACCTCACTTCCATTTTTCCTGTCTCACTGCACTGGACTTAACGTGTTCCAAATCAAGGATCAGCACTTCAGATAGACAGACATAGAGAAACAATCCATAAATAAATGGTGGAGGAACAGACACAATAACATGGCTAAATGTCACAGAAATAATGTTAAAGGGAAGTTAGACACAAAAAAGTACATACTGCTTGACTCCATTTACATCAAGTTCAAGAACAGGCAGAGCTGATCTATGGTGAAAGAAGTAAGGATGCTAAGGGCGGCTTCTGGAGTATGGCAAATATTTTTTATCTTGATCAGAGTTGTGGCAAGTAAGTGTATGCACAGTAAAAAAAGTCATCACTTAGCTGTACACTTAGGATTTATGTCCTTAATGTACAAATATGACCCTCACCCCACCTCTATACCCTCAAGTTACCCTCCATAGTAACTAAAACAAGTAAATTATTTTGTCCCCATAAAAAGATGTGGCCCTGGCTAGTATGGCTCAGTGGATTAAGCACAAGCCTGCAGACCAAGGGGTCTCTGGTTCCATTCCCAGTCACCGTACATGCCTGGGTTGTGGTCCAGGTGCCCCCAGAGTCGAGTGTGTGAGAGGCAACCACACACTGATGTTTCTTTCCCTTTCTCCCTCCCTTCCCCACTGTCTAAAAATAAAATAAATAATAAATATTTTTTAAAAATCCAAGATGTGCTTTTAAAAGTAGACAACAATATCAGAATATACCTTTTCTAGCTTAGAGTTCATGCTGGTAATTAGTTCAATATTCAAACTGTCATTCCAACTAGGATCAAAATATAAATTAAAAAAACTTTTTAACTGGATGATTGGAGAAATGAAGCAAGAAAAAAAAGGTAACATGCCAGCCAAATACACTTTGCCTCCTCGCACAACCAAAAGAAGGACAACAACAAATTTAAAATAAAAAACAACCAGAACTGCCAGAAAATCAAAATACACGGAAGTCCAATAAACAAGGAATTTATATGTACAACCCCTGGACATACACTAAAGGGGAGGATGCTGGTGTGGGGGGCGTGCAGGGTGGAGGGGAATAAAGAGGAGAAAACAATGGGACAACTGTAATAGCATAATCAATAAAGTATACTTAAAAAGATGAAAAGAAAAAAAGGTAAAATGAAAATTGAAATGTGAAAATTTATTTCCTGGCTCTGGGTGCCTGCCAGTCCTCAAGATTACCGCCTTAATGAATCCTTTATCCAATCAGTACATACTTAGGAAGGCAGACTAAAGACACTTGCAGAACAGAGAAAAAGAGCACACCCCTTCTAGCCCTGTTCTACAAGGACTGCAGAGAGGCGAGGGATACAGAGAAGACTTTGCCACCTGCCTCTCCCCCAGCCTGCTGCTCATGTTGAGGTTTCTGGGTGCAGCTCTCTAGGGGGTAAGCGGGTTTGGTATCTTTCTTGCCTGCCAAGATCAAGCTCATACTATGAATGAGATTCTGATAACCCACAGAGCAACAGGAAGTCAGTGGTGCAGAAAGGACATTAAGCCAGAGTCCTACTTCCTGACCCACCCAAGGCAGCAAGGATTAGGAGGTCCACCTCAAGTACATCTCTCCCACAGGGCTGCAAACAGAGCTGCTCAGTAAAAATGTATCCGGGGAGCATCACTCAGTTGGTCAACACTTTCTCACTCACTTAGTAGAACCTATTTCATCTATGCAGGAGTAATTACTTTAAAGACCTGCTCTGCCAGCGACCACTAACAGCTTTAATAATTAAAGAATCGCAAACTGCTTAGTAGTTTACATTATATAGCTGAAGTTAAAAGACATAAGAATGTGGAATAAACACACACCTGGAATAAAGGACAAAAAGGTACAATAGATTCGTGAGGAGGGTGATGAGAAGAATGTGATGATAGGTAAGGGGGGATAATTCTGGGAAGCCCCCTTGGTGAGCTCTGAAGAGGAGACTGAAATTTTTGATTGGAACAGGAAACCAGGGGACTGACTTTACCCTGTTGCTTCTTTTGTTGCTATTCCATCTCTCTGTGAGGAATGGAGTATGTACGGGACAGCATAAGGCTGCCTTTCTTCATGACGAGGCACACCCTCCAGCATTTGTTTCAGGAATTGCCACATTAGAATGATTCTGCAGAGACGCATTCAGTGGGCTATATACCGAGAGGTCAAATCAACATCCGTTCTCGGAATAGTAATCAGAGATGATTGCAATTGTGTCTAACACTTTTTTTTAACACCCCTACAAAGCAACCACACAAACCTTTTTTTTTCAAACCTATTCTCTCACATCACTAGCTGTTTTTATCTTTAAGAATGTACAGCCAAACTTCATCTTTAAAAACTGTACATAGTACCATGACATATACAATAAATGTCAAAATGTTTACAAAGTCTAGGATGATCCTGATTATAGTTTATTGATACCCTCATTTAAAATAGAAACAAAATATAATCGTGGAGTTGTTGAGTGCTTAAGTTAAAAATATTTAGCTCTCTCCACTCAAAAAAACATATCTGAAAAGAGATCATGGAAAGCAAGGCGATTAGAAGTTGGTGGTAAGAAACAAAAAAATATACAAAAATCAGTATATTTAATTTGTTTCTTCAAATTTGTCTGCATGAGGATATCCTGCTGGGTCAGAGGTTCTGACTTAGATCAAGGATATAAAATCGAACTTCAGAATCACCTGAAGAGTTTATCAAGAAAATTATTTTCCCAATACTAAGTAGATAACTCTTGATGGCACCACAGGAGCAAGGGGGGTTCAGACCAAGTACCTGTTCCCTGCTTCTTCTTCAGGAGAGTTGCACAGGCAGCGTTAGTAGCCATGTCCAGAGCCAGCTTGTTCTCATTGTTCCGTAAGTCTGTTCTAGCACCTTCCCCGACACAAGAAAAGTAAATTAGATGTTTTTGAAGACTATAGTAGCAGCCAGTACTCTTTTCCACCAAAACTGATCACTTTTGGCAAAACTAACTGGTGATCTTTTCTGCCCCAGAAGTAGCTTTTTGAAAGCAGAAAAACTCTCTCAAACCAGTAATAATGAGCTATATGTTCTTATTAGCCAATGTCGCCTCAATACATTTAATAAAAAAATAACTAAAAGTGTTTAAAAAATGGTTAATAGTGTATTTGGCATCTTTAATCAGGGAGCTTGTTGCTGCAGCTGTGAGAATTATGCACAATCAAAATATAACCTTTCCCTTCTAGCCCCTGCAGAATTTCATGCGAATGTTTCAGTGAGGAGTTCACCGTCCCTATGGCAAATCCTAAATCAGGTGGCCCCCAATAGTTAATGTGCCTCAGCATGAATGTTTGGAGATTAAATTCAATACACCCTTTGCTTCTTATGTTCAAGAAGATCTTTGGAAAGGACTGTGTAGGTTGACCTTGAGGGGATGAATATTTTCTACCTACAAGTATACTGTCATGCAAACTGGCAGAACAGCAACATCACAAAGCCTAGAGGCAATCAATGCATAATTCCTGTAGCCCATCTTCCATACACTTTTTTCCTTGCCTTTACTGTATTAAATATTATATCACAATTCATGAATCATCATTAAAGATTAAAAAATATGGAAGTATGCTGGACCAAACCATGTCCCATCTCATCTCCCAACAAATCCGTCCTTCCCCATTTTCTACCTTCTCCAGAGGTAACCATTCCCCAGACGGGGGCATCGGTTATGTCCTCTGGGTGCATAAGTGCATTCTCAGACATGTATGTACACACAAAATCATACCACAGGTATTGATCTGTAACTTCACTTCTTAATTCATGTACAGTTGACATATACAATCAGTTTCGAGTATATAACACGATTCTGAAAGTGTTATTGTGAAATGATCACAATAAATCTAGCTAACATCCTTCACCATACAGTTCCCAAAAAAACATTTTCATGTGAGGAGAACTTTTAAGATCTACTCCCTTAGCAACTTTTGGGTACGCAATACAGTATTAACTGGAGTCGTCATGCGGCAGACGCCACCCCCGTGACTCATTTTATAACAGAAAGTTTATACCTTTTGGCCCCTAAGGTTTTTTCAACATAACAATTTATAACGCTACTGATTTCTAGTAGCATGCATACTTATAACTCAATCTATTTAAATGTTTATAAATATCCCATGGTGTGGATGCTCCAAATTTTATCTGATCACTCCCCTATTGAGGGGCACCTAAGCTGTTGTTCCAAATTTTTATTATCACAAACAATACTGCCGTGAACCTCCTTGCAAACACCTTTGTTTATGTATTTCTGAAGGACAGTTTCCTGAAGGGATGTTGAAATGTAAGAATATGTACATTTTTAATTCTGCCAGCTACTGTTAGACTGCTTTCCAAAAAGGCTTTACCAATTTATACTTTCTGCCACAATGTATAAAAGCACCATTTTCTTTGCAACCACATCCTCTTCAACAAACAAAAAACAAATGTCCTAAAACTTAAAAGCACAAAAATATTAAGTCCAGAAATAAAATAGTACGTTTAATTAGGAATATGAAAATGACGTGTGAAAATCTGTCTCTGAGCAGAATTAGATCTATCCACAGGGTTAGATCTAAACCCTTCTTCCCTACAGGTCAAAAATCTGGAGGGTTTCCCCAGCTGGGGGATCAGCTGGTTGCATCATCATCCCATACATCAAAAGGCTGCAGGTTCGATCTCCAGTGGAGCATGTGGGAGGCAACCAATCGATGTTTCTCTCTCACAGTGATGTCTCTCTCTCCTCTCTCAATCTCCCTCTCTTTCAAATCAATAAACATATCCTTAGGTGAAGATTTAAAAAAACTCCTAAGGGTTGATGGTTCTGTGACTAATCATTTCTTACAGAACTCAGAACTCAGACATGCTTTCTGCTCAGAGACAGCCCCACTGAAAACAAACAGCCATTCCCTCTGGCCTCACCCAGCACTGCCCAACAGAAATGCAGCGTGAGCTGCATATGTGATTTTCAATTTTCCAGTGGCCACATTTTCCAAAAGTGAAATTCATTTAAATAAGGCATCTTATTTTACCCAGTATATCTGAAATGTTCTCACTTCATCATGTCACCATTATAAAAATGGCTGTGATATTTTACATTTTTCACTAATTCCTCTAAATCTGCAGTGCAGTTTACACGTACAGCACACCCCAATGGACACTAGCCTTATCTCAAAGGCTCGAGAGCACATGAGCCAGTGGCGGCCAGAGCAGATGGCACAGCTCTCAGCACGACCTTGACACCTATGTCTAAACTCATAAAGTTTACATCAAAAACATTTCCTCTCCTATCTCCCAACATTGCTCCAAGGAGCCCCAATGATAGTGCATCCATATAACATGTACCCTCGGGACACAAGCACCTTATAGCCTTCCGGACCAGGGTGTGGTACGGAGTGATACGCCTGGCTCTCCGAGAGGGTTAATATTTGTGGGACAGACAGATGCATGGACGGTCAGTCCATCATTTCAGAGTTCCCTCTGACTTGTGTGAAAACGAAGAATCAAGGGATCTTCTCCCGTCCTCTGCACGTCTAACACCTGCTCGGCTCAGAGCAGGACGCCGCAGCCACAGAGATCTTCCTTACCTACCAAGACTTCCTGCGAGATCAGGGACGGCAGAAACTGGACCACAGCACTTTCTCAGAGCGGACAGACAGAGGACCTGCTCGGTCTGTTCACGCACTCACACACCCACGCGTGTACACACGCACCATGAAACATGTCTTCTATGGTCCTTTACCCCCACAGAAATGTTCAGGAAGTTCCTACTAAAATTAACATATGTCATTGTGTGGCTCACCACAGTTTTTATTTAAAACTAAAAACTTACACAAGTCACCTCAATAATTCCATCTTATCATAACAACTCTGTGATGCAGAGTAGAGATGAAAAGTCCCAGTTTTAAAATAAGAAGCCTAAGGAGCCTCTCGTTCTTCTTATTCTTTCAAATGACATAATCAGATGTAGTCTATTTTTCAGGATAAGCAAAGACCAGATCAGCGCAGCACACGTTACCTTTGGCCAGAAGCAACTCGACGATGTCTGCGTAACCCTTCCACGCAGCTGCATGCAAAGCTGTGTCTCCCAACTTGTTCTATGGCAACAAAAAGAGCGAGTACCATTTTAATATTGGAGTGTGGACTGGAAACACACAGGAGCTGAGGCCCACTCTAGTAAACCTCAAATGGTAAGAAAGTTATCTTCATATATATACAATTCCAAAGAGTGAAAAGCCTCGAGACACGGGAGGTGAGTGACGCTGGGAGAGATTGGGATGGAGGAATGGAAACAGCCGGGCCAAACCCCAAGTGAAGTGCAGGCGCCCGCAGAGGAAGGCACCAAGAGGAAGCAAGCAGATTCCCCCCAGAAGCCTGGCGTGAATTAGGACCTGGAGATGTCTGGAGGCCCTGGGGCAGGAAGGAGGCACAGGGGTGAAAACAAGGCTACCCTGTGAAAGGGTTTATAAGGAGTAACCTCAGAGCCCCAGATCACCTGCTGCTCTCCTTGCTGCCAGATGAGCCAGTACAGGTGCTAGAATTACCCTGTCAAGAAATTAACCAGATATTTTCCAAGCTCACGGACACTACGGACAAGAAAAGGTGGCAATGAGGCCAGGAAATAAAACCAGGGGGGTAGGTGAAAAACCTAACAACTGAGCGGCAAGCCCACTCTCCCAGCAGTATGGCCTCCTGCCCGACGTGCACAGTCTAACACGCACCCCGGGCAGGGGCGGGAAGCTGAACAGCCCCACATACCATGGAGGGACTGAGCACTCACACTGGTGTGTGGGGACAACCCAGCAAAATACCAGGACTTCACCATTTCGCCTATGGAAAAGCCCACCAAGCCCCAGCAAGCCTCCCCAGCACACAGAGCTTCCAATTTCACCTAAACATGAAGGATGGACAAAGACACTAGGTATTTGAAGAAAGTCTCCTGTATTTGAGGAAAAACCAAAACAAATAAAATAAATGAATCTCTGAGGAAAAAGACACAGTACTGTGAATAGCAGAAAATGTTTTAAAAAGCTGTAATTAACATCAGAGATAGAAGATGATACTGAATAATGAAACAAGAAAAAATGCTGTTTAAAATAGCCATGGGAGTAAAAGAAAGAGCTCGGGGTGGGCAGAATTCCAGGATGGCCCCCAGGACCCCTGCTCCCCCGCACACACCCACTGTGTAATCCACTCCTCTTGAGCGTGGGCTCGTCCTGCGAATACAACAAAATATCACTCCCATAATTAAATATCTAATCAGTCGATGCTGAGTTCATCAAATGAGAGATTATACTGGGTGGGCCTGGCCTAATCAGGTGTGCCCTTTCCAACCCAAAAAGGTATGGTACAGTGCCAGGCACAATCTGCTGGCCTTGAGAAAGAAACGAACAGTCATGCTGTGAACTGTCCATACAGAACAGTGGTCTCTGGAGGCTGAGGGCCACGTTACCACCAATACAAGAAACTCGATTCCCCTGGCAACCTGAATGAGCTTGGACTAGGATGTGAGCTCCAATCGAGAACCCCACTGTGGCCAACACTTTGACTCCAGCCTGTGAGACCTGAAAAGAGAACCCATCGATGCCATGACCAGAATTTGGGTCTACAGAAAATATAAGGTAAAGGGGTATAATATAAGGTAAAGGTTTTAGGCTGCTATGTTTGTGGTAATTTGTTACATAGCAATAGAAAACTTATCAAGAGCTCTGGGCCATTAAAAACATGACCAAAATAAAACATGAGGACAAAAGCAAGGAAAATCTCAGAAACTAAAAAAACTGGAGGTTCAGCATAAAAGTTCAATATAACTATTGGTGGATATTCAGAACCAAAGAACAAAGAAAACAGTCAGAAAACTGACCATAAGAGAAATAATACAATATCTTTTCCCAGGCTAAAAATAATGCAGCACCATTACTGGGGAAAGATCCACACTGAAGCCCATCACTGTGAAATTTTAGAACACCAAAGTTACAGGCTCCAACCAAGGGAAAAAGCAAATCACACACAGAGGAATGGGAATCCAAATGGAATCGAACCTCCCATAGGCAACCCGAAGGAGAACACCATAGAGGCCTGCCTGCAACCCAGGAAAATCATTTTCAGCCTATAATTCTGTCAACCAAATAATCAACACCAAGCTCCCCTTTCTCAGAAATCTACTTAAAGATGGCCTTCAACAAATGGAAGACACAGGATGCAGGAAAGTGAAGGCACGACACAGGAGACAGGTGAAGGACTTTCCGGGAAGACGGCAAAGGGCAGCTCAGACCAAGCGGCTCAGATTCGAGAACGAGGATGGACGGCTTCTGGAAGTGCGATTCCAGGGAGAGAGAAGAAAGCAGCTAATTATCTTACACATTATCAGAAAGCGTATCAAGAGAGTATAAAACAGCACAGAAGTGTTTGTGAGAAACCAAAAAAGGCTAGGAAGTATGAAAACAGTTACATAAACAGTGAACAATATTTAAACAGCCATACTAATGTAAGCGACATACAGCAATGTGCACGATAGGTTGGAAGGACCACCAGAAGGCAGGCTGGGTGCTGCTGACACACTTAAACCCTCATCTACCCAACAGGATGCCAAAACGCATGCAAACATGACAAATTCTGAGACAGCTCCACAGGTCATTCCTTAGTAATGTGAAGGTAAGAAGAAAAAGCTAAAAGCCAAAAGTTATATACAGGGAGGAATGTGGTAGGCGTTTTAGGCTTTATACAATTTGAACTCTAGTACAATAATAATTTTTTAACTGTGTGCTTATAGTATTTTGATTAAAAGTTTAAGAGAAATAATGGATGGGAAAAGGTTGGTTCAAGACACTATGGTATGGTGTTTCATGCTCACATGCTATGTAAGAACAAGGCAGGTGTGTTAAATGACTTTCCTGTACACAATCTTACCTGCTGATTCAGTTCAATGTTTGGTTGAGTAAATAGCATTTCTACTATATCTGAAATTCAAATAGAAAAAATAATTCTTTAATAATGAGAAGTAAAAGTCTCACAAAACTAGGCATCATAAGTTTAAATGCAAATTTTTTACATGAATCATCAAGAAAATCCTTGCAATAAAATGTTTAAAGTATATCTGAATTGAAGACTTAAGACTGTAAAGGGTAGAATTACTTAAGGAAAAATTTTTCCAAATTGTTTGGCTTTGCATTTTCACATGACATCTATTATAGAAATATTTCTACATTCACTATGATACTTAATATTTATATCACTAGTTGGTGTTTATTAGCTACAATAAAATGGGTATCTTTTGAGAGACAATCATAAAATTCCCTTTCGATATGCTATTTAATTTGTTGGGTTCTTTGTTTCTCGTTGTTGTTTGCATTATGTTTTTGTGTTGAAGAGAGAGGTGTAAAGAGACTGAATATGGTGTAGAATTTGGCCTGTCTGAAATACATCTAGAAATTCCATTTGTCATTACTACTATTGGTTACAACAGAGCAAGTCACCAACTGATACCTAACTCAAGCGAATGCTCTTTCTCCTTAATCTGATAGCACTAAACTTGAAATGTGTATCATAAAAGCATATCATGGGAAAAGCTGCGTTAGAGAATTCAATTCCACCCCATTTCTTCTGTAAGATTAGATATTGGGGTGTGTTTTTACATTACTGTTGTTTTCCTGTAACTCTGACACGTCTGAGAGAGGAAAGGAGGCTTCTACCCTTTCGAGCCAAAGCGGTCCGTGTAGTGAGGCTGATCAATGATGTTCGAACTACTGTGTTATAAAAAAAGCTTCCAGGAACAAGGCTATTGGCTGATGTTCCAAAGGAGTTGAAAAGAATAACCAACTTTTTTTCATTTCTGTAAATCTGATTCCCTTAGGTGAAGCACATTTTTCAGTAGCACAGACATTTATGGTGACAAACAAAATGTGATACCTTTGTGGCCCCCGTGACAAGCCCAGTACAAGGCAGTGCTGCCAGCTTTGTCTAAGCCATTAACGCCAACTCGGTTCTCCAGACACTCTCTCAACCAGCTCAAGTTGCCTGAAAAAAAGTTTACATTTATAAAAACACAAGGAAGAGGATCTTATTTTTGGTTTTGCTTGTAAATCAATTTCATCCTGCATAAATTTCCATTTGCAACAGATTGATCAACAATTCTGAAATTAAGACCTGCCCAGTAATGCATTTACTATGGTACATTCTGACTTCCAGTCCACTAATGGAAAGCAGTAACATCAATTTTTAATAGTAGGCTAATGGGAGGAGTTACCTAAATGGGTAAAGTATTGCTTAAAGTATTTTTACTCTGTAAAAAAATAGATGCAAATATATGTTTTCCTTTGTGAATTCCTGAAACTTGGGTGGGGGCGTCAATCCTAAGAACAAGCAGAAACTATTTATATTCATATTTAAAATGCACTTTCAGTTCTTACAAGAAACAGTAAAAACTTACTCAAAAATGCTACTCTTACATGTTCAAGTATAACCACTGATTTAAAATCCTCCAGCTAATGCCCTAAATATCTAATTTACAAAAAAAAATGTTTTAAATGTCAGTTTTGTAGTTCTTATGCAAAATCCTAAACCCCTAATTTCCTTTTGCATATTCAGATTTCAAAATGATCTACAGTAGCATAAGAGAGAGCCCACTAAGGCCTTATAAAAACTCCCTACACAGGGTTCTTCAATAGCTGCCCTACTGACATTTCTGGTTGGAGAATTCTTTTGGCATCGGTGCTGTCCTGTACACCGTAGTATACTCAGCAACAACCGCGGGTTCTACCCAAAAGATGCCAGTGGCAGCCCCCAGTCGTGACAGTCAAAATGTCTCCAGACACTGCCAAATGGTCCACGGTATGGAGGGAGGAATTACCCCCAGTGGAGAACCACTGATCTATAGGATAAAGCCCCAGGTAAGAAGTTGCTCCCTCCCACCCTGACCCCACCCTTACCACACACACCTTACGTCAACAGTCTCCTAAATGCTGTACCCTCAAGAAGCCCCCACCCTGTTGCCTCCTGTTCCTTGTTCTGGCCTCAACAGCCCTGTCACTTAAACACACTTCAACTGCTGTGCCTACCACACCATCTTGTTCTGTTACTCGCATCTCTCCCTTCCCAGGGCTTGAGCTCTGCAGGCACAGACCAGGCCTTTCCACCTGTCGTGGAGCACGGGTATGTAAGGTCCTCAAAAGTATCTGTGACTGACACTTTAAAATTAAAATTACACTTACCCACCTCGGACAACAGAAGGCAAAACAGAGATTGCCTCTAGGGGAGGCAGGGAGTTAACTGGAAAGGGAGTTTTCTGGAATGATACAAATGTTCCAGCTAGATCTTGATCTGGGTGTTGGTTACCTGGGTGCATACATTCATCAAAAGTCCCCAAACTATGTAATTAAAATCAGTGTGTGTCACTGTTCTGTGTATGCCAATCAAAAAGAATCACACCTACCTCGTTTTGCAGCTTCGTGCAGTGGATTGTCGATGGATTCTGCCTGCTCAGCCACTAGATTAAAAAGAAAAAGTACAAACCCAATGCTAAGAGTGGTTCGCTACAGCCAGATCAGTCCCCCAGCTTCCACAGTGCCAGAGCCTTCTGCAATTCAGCTTCCCTTACTTAATGTGGAAAAATAGCAGAAAATTAAATTCATCTTTCCTGCTTTAAAAGAAGCTGAATTACATGTTCGATGAACCCAAGCTAAGCAAGCAATATGACGATAACACAGCAGCTAACTGGAGGTAGACACAGAACAAACATCCATGGCCTGTACAACAGTTTATTCAATTATTTCATAACAAATTTGGTCATAAAAATACAAAAGAAAGCATCTGATGCTCATTTTTATATTCTGTAAAAGCATCCTATATAAGTATGGCTGAAAATAACTATTTCCCTTGTGTGGGGTGGGGGGAGCAAACGGGCTGGTGAAAGGAAAATATTTTGCTTCCTCTATTCAGAAAGAGCAATGAGACACCCACCTGCCTCCAAGGAAGGTGTGTTCACTGTGTCCTAGAATCAGCAGGAGTGACAAGACTACTGTTCCCATGAGACTTCGGACACAGCCCCTCCCTCCATAAAGGGCTGTAACCAGACACCCCCTTGGCTGTCCGGGATCCAAAGCTACAGAGGAGCATTTTATTCCCTCAGTGTCTATGAACAACTTACACCCTCAGAAACAAGATATATTTGCTATTTCAGAGGTTAAAGCACTGTAAAAATGTTCAAAGTCTTTTTGTAATCCAGAATGGTATCGCTCTAAAACCAGGGCAGGAGGGGCCCCTGTGCTGGATTAGAAACCTCAGCTCTTCATCCCTCCTCTGAGCTCTTCATTTCCTCCACTAGGAGCTTTAAAGTGCCTCCCCGACATTTTCTAAGTTCCCTTCCTGTCCTCAGAACTGGTGCCTGATGCCAGCCAGCCCTATTGGTCTAAGGACTCATCTAATGCTAAAGTCAAAAGGAACCTTAAAAGATGATTCTCTCCTTTTCTCCCTCCCCTTTTCTCTCTCTAAAAGTAAATAAATAAAATCTCTAAAAAATTCAGAAGTGATTTAAATCAAACTTTCATTGTAAAGATAAGGGAACAGTCCCAGAAGTAGCAGGTCCTGGTTATTGGGTAGTGGAGGAAAAAGGATTAGAACCCAGGACCCTTGTTTATCAATCCTACGCTCTTTTTACTTTACTCTGCCAATTTCTAGACAAGTCTACTTCATCCTCCCCCAACTACAAGTGAGCTCATGGCAGGGGACACATCTCGGTGCTCAAGCTCCCCAAACTGACATGAACTGAATGAACATCACTGCCCCAGACATGAACTGAAAAGGCATGGTCACTTCATCAGAAAAGAAAGGGCTCGCCTAAGAAACAATCAGTGAGATTTAGTTTAACAGCAAAAAAAAAAAAAGTTCTAAGAGTTGAATGAATTCTTTCAAGAATGCTACAATGAGTTTTAAGCCGAGTCAAGGCTCAAACACTCCCAGCGTCCAGGAGCACTTTATTAACAGGTGGCTCATGGAGGAGAAAATGTCCCGGACTGGCAAGGACTCTACTGATTTCTCAGCCAGAGCAGCAAGCAGAAAGCCCTCAAGAACCATATAATAAGTCCCAGTCAGGGCACATGCCTGGGTTGCAGGCCAGTTCCCAGTGGGGGACACACAAGAGACAACCGTACATTGATATTTCTCTCCCTCTCGCCTCCCTCTAAAGATAAATAAATAAAATCTTTAAAAAAAGAACCATATAATAAGGTTCATACAATAGGATTGATTGATTTGCCTCTTAAGTTCCTTTCAGTCTACAGGTTTTTAGTGCACACCAAAGTACAGACACAGCAGCCATGCTTACCATAGTTGCTTGGAATTAGTCCAGTCCTGCCTTTGGAGGTGCCTTTCCACCAATTGGTATCACTCTGCAGAAAGAAGAATTAAATTAAGTGGCACCAACTCCAGTTTACATTCAATCACTTTAAGACCACTAGATTCATGGCGCGTATCTGATCTACAAAATGCCCATCAGCCCCGGTCACAATGAGCAAGCCCCCTCACTCCCAACTTAGGATGTCCATTCCCATCATCACTAAATCACAAACATTCACAGATCTCTCTGCAACAAATCAAATACACTTCATCACAGAGCTTCAACAATCAAGCAAACCACACAGAGATAATACAAATTAAAAAAATTACTTAGTTTATATAGACTATAACATTTTTTTCTTCAGTCTAATTTTTGTTAGCATCAAGATTTTTTGTTTGTTTTCTGAGGATATCTTTATTTCACCTTTATTTTGGGGATAACTTTTTACTACAGAAAAGTCCAAACCTGTATAAAAGTAGAAAGAACAGTATAATGAACCTGCAGGTACCCATTTTCAACTGCATGAATTATTTACTTATGGCCAACATTGTTTCAGATATACTGCTACCTACAACTTCCCTCCCCTTCAGATTATTTTGAAATAAATTCTAGACACCATATTATTTCATCTATAAATATTTCAATATGCACCTCTGAAAGATTAAGGACTATTTCAGACATAATTATAATATCATTATCACAGATTAACATTTTCAACAATTCCTTAATATCACCAAATATCTAGATCAATACTCAAATTTCCAGTTGTCCTATAATCTGGAACCCAAATAAGGGACATACAATAGAATTGATTGATTTGCCTATTAAGTCTCTTTTAGTCTACAGGTTCCCCCTCCATTTGTTTTCACTCCTTCCCAAACTACTTGTTGAAAAAAAACTGTTTTGTGGAATTTCAAACAGCCTGGATTTTCCCTATTGAATCCCTGTATTAGCAAAAATGTGTTCCTCTGTTCCCCATATTGCCTCTAAATTGGTAATCAGTTCTAGACACCTCACTAGACTCAGATTTGATCGTTTTGGCAAGACTATTTCACAGGTAGTCCTGATCTCTTCCATCAAAGGACTCATAATGGCTAGTGCTCTCTCTTTTTATAATGTTAGTAACCACTGATGAGCGTTACCTGGATCCATTATTTTACAGGGGTTGCAAAATACATGACATTCTATCATTCTTTCTTCATTTAAATAACTAGGATATTTCTTTAAAGAGAAAACTCTCCTTCATTAACCCTCAGATCATTCAGAGATGAAGTTCACCAAAAAGAGGCAAAATAACAAGTGCAAGTGAGAATGTGAAGAAAGTGGAAGGAACCCATTGATACTGTTGGTGGGAATGCAGACTGGTGCGACTACTGTGGAAAGCAGTGCAGAGATGCCTCAAAAAATTAAAAATGGATCTACCTTTTGACCCAGCAACCTCACTTCTGGCAATTTATGTGAAGGAACCCAAAACAATAATTCAAAAGAACATAATCACTCCTATATTCATTGCAGTGTTACTAACAATCACCAAGATATGAAAACAGCCCCAGTGTCCATCAATAGATACGTGGATAAAACAATTCAGGGACATTTACACAATTGAATACTACTCAGCCATAAAAGAGAAGAAAGGTTTACCCTTTGTGACAGTCTGGATGGGCCTGGAGAACAGTATGCAAGAGTGAAATGAGCCATTCAGAGAAAGACAAATACCATATGATTTCACTCATATGTGGAATCTAATGAACAAACTGAACTAACCAGCAAAACAGAGACTCACAGATGGAGAGCAGATGACAGCTAGTGGCGGTGGGGAGGTTAGAGGGTGAAGGGACTGAGCGAAAAGGAAAAAGGACTCATGGACACGAACAACCATGTGGTGACTGCTCAGGGGAGAGGGTATAAGGGGACTAAATGGTAATGGAACAAAGTACAATAAAGATTAAATCAAAAACACAAAAGCAAAATAAATGCTACTTTCCTTAACAAATGTCAGAATAAAAAGTTGTTTCCCTCACATTATCTCAAAGTGTTTGATAATGTTTGTTTTGAAATATCATTAGGAACTTATAATTTAATCATAGTAAATGTGTTTCAACTCTGGGAACTGATGCTCTTATTGATTGCTCGTGTAGTCCTATCTTTGGCCAGTGGCAGCCTCTTCAGTTTGGTGCTGTGCCTTTCTAGTGTGATGCTAAATAGTCTTTGGTAACTTCCTTGCTTTCTAAAAATGAGATGTTTAGGGATTATCTTGTACTTTAACTGTCCCTAACCTGGTACAAACATTTCTCAAGGGAGCCTTGTTCCTTTTAATGGGAAATAACATAATGTTATTGGTAGGTCATTTTTTTCCCTAAGCTTTTCAAAGTATAGAGCAAGAGATGTTGTTTTGTTTTATTTTAGAGAAAATATAGCCCTGGCTGGTGTGGCTCAGTGGATTGAGCACTAGCCTGTGAACCAAAATGCTGCTGGTTCAATTTCTGGTCAGGGCACATGCCTGGGTTGTGGGCCAGGCCCCTGGATGGGGATGTGCGAGACGCAACACGATCGATGTATGTCTTGCACATTGATGTTTCTCTCCCTCTCTTTCTCCCTCCCTTCCCCTCTCTCTAAAAAGTAAATAAAATCTAAAAAAAGAAAGAGAGGGAAGATATAAATCCAATTCAAATGCTGAGCTACCAGATTGTTACTTACCCTAATTTATCTTACATCTGTATATCCTTCCTTGCAGGCTGAAAATCCCAGGTTTCAACATCTCTGACCTAGTGACCCATTTGCTCCACCACACACACACATGCAGCTATCTCAGAATAGCAATACCAACACTCTTCCAACAAGATCATGCTTAAAACCAGTTTACACTATAGTATTTTTGGCAGTTGTTCTTGTCCTTCATCTATATTCTACTAGAGGTGTTCAGTTGAACTGCTGAGTTATACAGTCACTTGGAATAGTTCCTCTCTGTATGGTTATACCAATTAGCTGGAGTACAATTAAGTTTATTTGATTCATGCTGCTTTTAATTTCCAGTGATTGCTTTTTACCAATTGTATAACTATGTAAAAGTTTACATGATTCCAAAGTCAGATCCCCAAAACAAAGTGCAATTTTTGAAAAGTCTATTTTTATCTATGTTCCCTCTACTCTATCTCCCTCCCCCCAATAGAAGAAACTATTTTTTAAATTTTATTTTATGATTCTTCCTCTGTTTATTTTAAATAGAGGAAAACAGGTATATGTATAACCTCTCACTCTTTCTTAGATAAGTGAAGGCACGTTATCCACAATTTTTTATCTTCCTTTTTTTCTCTATAATTACTCCAAATACTCAAAAGTAGCAAAGTTTATTGAACCATATTCTTGTTGATGGACGAATGGGCTATTTCTAATCTTATGCTATTACAAACTATGCTAAAATGAATAGATTTGGGCATATGTATTTTTACATAGACACACATTTAAATAATGTACAAGGTTGTGGCTATACAAGATAGTCTTATACATCTTTAATTCATACACCATATCACAACGTTTTAGGCGGGCTTACCATGTCAGTAATGTAGATGATGTCACCTTCCTCAAAGTACAATTCATCTGGCTAAAAGAAAAAAAAGTAAAAAAAAAGAAAAAAGAAATGTTTAAGTTTGACTTCATGTGGTATTTTCATGAATTCGAATACAATGATTATGATAATTATATAGATTTCAAATGATGAAGTATCCTTATATACAACGTGGTTTTTTTAATTACGTAAATCATTTAACATAACATTATTAACATGAAGCAGTAACTTGGACTGTCCACACCAGAAGCAGCTCAAAGGGATTAGTTCATTACAGTCAGTCTGTGCTCTGGCCCATACCAGCCAAATGTCTAACAAGCTCTGAATAAAGCCAGGCACTTTAATTGAAATATATTTTTTCTATCAGTAGATAACAATTATCAATCAGCATGACCTTATGAGCAAATAGCATGATGCCTATTCAGAGCAAGTTTCAATATTGAGAAATGTTTATGTTGTCACATTGAGTAACAAATGTAAGGCACAAAATTTCACATAGGATAATATCACCAAAATGCTCGAAATTATATATAGATGATTTCCCAAATTTTATTAATTTTATTATTTTCACAATTTTAGTTGGAAAATATTTTTTAAATAAGGGGCTTTGATATTTCTGATTATAGCTATTCTTCCACACAAGTAAAAATTATGCTAGTAAAACAAATTATTTCACCCATTTCTTTTTCCAATTGCTTATCTCCTCTCTTAGTCACAGACTAGAATAGTAAATATAACTCTGCACTAGTAATTTATTTCATTTCAAAGCTGATCTATATTATTATAATAACTATCTCCCCAAATATAAATGAAGACAGTAACAGCTATATGTTTTAAACAACCACAAAACATGAAAATTTAGATGCATTAGAAATTCAAATATAAAAATTAGCAAATAATGATTAATGATAGTAAAAAATAGCTAAGTTCCTGAAGTATTTGTTGCATTTACACTTTGATTTACAGAGACTAGACTTACACCCAGCACAAGCTATGGAATATAAGTTGAACCTGTGCAGACTTGATGATACACATTTTAATATTATATGAAATAAGCTTTTAGGAAAAAAGCAAGCCCTCTAAGATTATCTGTATTTATTCTCTAAAATGTTCTGATGACCTATAATCAATATGACCATCAATATGTGATGGATATACAAAGTGATGAGAAAAACAAACTATTTCCCACTGCGCATCCTTCTCAGAGAAGCCAGAAAGGGAACTCACTTACCGCCACACACAGCATCCCAGCTGGATGCAATGGCCATCCTCATGACAGGTAAGGCCACACATTTGACTATTTGCCCTTTAGATGACAGTAAGGGATGGGAGGAGAAAATGAAATAGGACAGAAGGAAGTAAGGAAAACAGAATACACGTAAAAAGGTAGCATTTTTATGAAGTGACCAAGTTTCCTTGAAGAGATCCTTCTGGCCTTAGAGACAGCCCAGGCTGTTCTCATTCTGCACCCCGCTAAGAGCTAACCCTGCCCACTCACTGTCTAACAATGAATCCTCCTCAATCAGCACTTGCGTTGACTTTAAGGAGCCATCTCTGCCTACGGTTTTCATCTCCTTCTAAAATTGTAAAAGTCTAGTCGGCCAAAATTTTCTCATTTAGTAAGATCATTCACCCTTTGAAGAAAAAGGCATGTTTTAAAAAAGTATCAAATGAATAACTCAAAAAAAAGCATGCACACACACACACAATGTCTGTGATTAGTCTTTCTCATAAAAAAGGAAAAAGAAAAGAAATAAAGCCCACAAGAATGGAAAGTTAAGTGCTTAATGGGTATGGGGTTTCCTTCTGGGGTGATGAAAATGTTTTGGAACTAGACAAGAGGCCGTGGCTAACAACACTGTGAATGTACTAAATGCCACTGAACTGTTCACTTTAAAGTGGTTAATTTTATGTAGTAAAAAAATTCACCTCAATTTTTAAAAAGGCAATAAAAGCTAAGAACAGTTAAAACTCAATCTCTTTTACGTAGTTCTTGGCCTGTGTGGTTTGGCTAAGTGACATTTGGAAAATGCCACTTAAGTACGGTCATTTTGATACTTGCTGGTGTTCTTTCTGTTCGGCGTTTAAACCGAGGGCTCCTGTTCGGTAATGGTGCCTGCCCCAAGCCTGTGTTAGGACAGATTGTTTTTCAGCTGAGGCAACAGCATCCGGTCCATTTCAGTAAGGTATAAAAAAAGGTGCTAACTGTTGTTTTCATCTCGACAAAGGAAAGTGGACAGTTTATTTTCTTTCTAATCAATAGCTGCTAGACACACAAGCCTGCTTACTACCCATAAAATATCTTCTTCCAAAGAAACTGGCACAGTTTGTCCTAACAGAGTGAAGGAGGGGACCTACGAAGTTCTTCAGGCCGTTGGTGGCAGTACAGACAACACGGTAATCTCATGACTTTAAAACTTGGATCCACTTTACCAACAATAGTCACATAAGCCACTTGCAGAACACATGATGTAAATTGTTCGATGAGGATCTACTTTTAAATTCTTGGCATCGTATTCATGGAACAGAAATGGGCAGATAGTGACACAGTCAAGCAAGCACTGCTCTATTTCCAGCTTAGTCTTTGGTTTTTAACCACATTCCTCCCTTCCCCTCTCCTTGAAGAACCACAAGGTATCAAAACAAGTAAATTGCTGGCCACTGGGACATTATAGCAATGAGTACAAACTTGGTAATACATATTCTCAGTCCTCTTCATATATTCTTAGAAACACATAATTCCCAAGCCATTAATTTTGTTGGTTAATGAAAATATATACTTTATGAGAAAATATTAAACAACTGTGAGATACCTTGGAAATTTTTCAGATTTGTCAAACTGGAGCCTCAAAAATTAATAAAAAGAAAAAAACAAATCAAATTGGCACAGATATTTTTATTTAACACTTTATAGTACTATTATGTCCCAGGCACTGGTCTGGACACTTACAAATATTAACTAATTGAATCCTTACCAGCAGTGCACTGAGGTAGGTATTATTCTCATCACCAGGGTACAGATGAGAAACTTATCCAAGGGCACAGACGAGGTACAAGGCAGACCCCAGACTTGAACCATGACAGTCAGATTCTGGAGTCCCTGCTGTTCACCACCACTTATGCTTTCTCTCATACAGAGGGTCGTTCACGGCCATTACTGGTCGTCATGGTGTCATGACTTGGTTAAAAGGCAGTGTCCATAGGAAATACCTGCTTCCCCCGCCTCACCCAAGGCATTATGACAAAACCAACAGCAGCACCTTATTCTTACAAACCATACTTAACCTCATTTCAATCTTACAACAACCCATTAGAGAGGGCTGGTCATGCGTATAATCTTCCATGTCACCACCAAGCTTAGACAGGCAGAAGAACTTGCCACAGATTATGTAGTGAGTGGTAGTCCTACTTCAGCTTTCGGAATCCCATTCTAGGGCTCCTTCCTCTACATTTAATGCTATAAACCTAGCAAGGCCCAGCAAACCTTACGTGATAGAACAGGGTCCTGCTGGTTTCTCTTAGAAATCAATGTGACGCCTCCAGCACAGAGGACAGGCTGCTCTTTCTCTTTGCACATCTTTATACTAGTCCATCCAGTTCAGCCAGGTCTATGCAGTATGACATGCTACTTATTGCACTGGAGGTTGGGTGACAAATAAGAACCAAACAAGACTACCTTGCCTTCAAGCAAGACAGAGAAGAAATGGGTTGGCAGGAAGAACCAGGAGCCACAGCTGCCCAGTGTTTACCTGCTCACTGAATCACCAAGAGCAGAGTTGGGCATTGCTGTCCCGATCTCCTGAGGGTTGAATAACAGGGAAAAACAGACCCAGGCCTCCCCGTGGTGCTGCACAAGTCAGCAATGGTCCCGCAGAGTCAGCTCTTCCATCTTGTCTGATCCCAATGGCTCTAAGGAGACCAGGGCAGATTAGGATCTACCCCTGTGTGTTTATTCCACCAGAAAAGATGACTATTGGTGCAGGGAGAGAAAGACCAAACTGAGCTTCCAGTTTGGTCTTTCAACAAAAATTCTCATTCAGAAAAAGAATGTAAAAGTAGTTCTTGGGTGATATTCAAAGTACTGAATTGCTAGTACAAGCACAGGCACTTAACCAGTCATGGAGATCATGGGAGCTGGAGGCTACCTTTAATGTGTGGATTGAGGCAGGTGGAAAGGGGCAGACCCTGGGGGCAATGGGGTGTGGGGTAGCCATTCCTGAATGCCCAGCACACACAGGATAAATTAGCAGCATTGTTCTGCAGCCTCAAATTCTTGGGACCAGGGGTATTTAAAAAAATACAATTAACACTTTAAATACAGAATATTAAAAAAACCTAGTAAATAAATGCTTATTTTTCCCCTGTGCACTCAATAATAACTAAGATAAAAAGTAGTGGAAAGACTCCCTCTGGGAGAGAACCAAAAGTGAATTAAAGTAGTTAATACATCAACCAACTAAAGATATTTGTTAAAGGTCTTGGGGAACCAAAGGCGGAAGAGGTGGCCAGTGAGAAAGGACAAAGGCCGCGACGAAAGGAGAAGCATCCAGAAGTCACCTCCGGGCTCAAATGAGCTGCCCCAGGAGGGCAGCTGATGACCCCCTCCCCCCTCCTATGCCTCTCCACCTCAGGGGTCATGCAACCTCAGGAACAAAGGATTTGGACAATCAGAGGCATGAAATGATTGTCCTCCCTGTGATCAGGGGACAAAGACAACATCTGCGTGTCATAGCTCCTTACCTTTTGTGCCCTGCCCCAAAACTCAAAATGTCACAGTATTTGGAGCCGGGGTCTTTAAAGAGGTAATTAAGTTAAAATGAGGTCATTAGAGTAGGCCCCAATCCAATCCGGCCAGTGTCCTTTTAAGAAGAGATTAAAATACAGGGAGGTACAGAGGAAAGACCACGTTAAAGATACTGAGAGAAAGACGGTCATCTGCAAGCCAAGAAGAGAGTCCCAGATCAGTCCTGCCGACACCTTGATCTCGCGCTCAAAGCCTCCAGAACTCTAAGAAAATTAATTTTTGTGGGTGGAGCTACCCAGCCTACGGTACTTTGTTCCGGCAGCCCTAGCAGACTAACACACTTCCCATCCTCACCAACACGCAGGAGATATCATTGCAACTGCTGGGTGAGAAGAATAAGAAAACTGAAACTTACCCCTACTCCCCAAATCCCTCCCTTGTCCCAGAAACACGGTTTACAAAGCCTCAGGACAGCTCATCTGAACACACACGCTCATGCTAACTGCATCCCTTCACCTGCTGCCATTCCGTGGCACTCACTATCTCAGTCGGCGCTCACAGCACGGTTCTGCTGTAAGACGGTTAATGTTTTTCCCACTTTCAAAAGAAGGAAACAATGGCCACTAGAATAAGTAAATTCGCACAGTGAGTAAATGACAGATTTGAGGTGTGAAGGCAGGCAGTGACTCAATGTACAGAGCTACTTGTTCTAGAGACCCCAGGGCCCAGGGCAAACCCAGACGGAGCCAGCAGAATAGCAGGCTTCCCTCTCTGGTTCTTTCTCCTCGAGGTCCTCTCTGGACTGTCTGCTTCCATTCTTATTCTCCTTGATGGTTGTCCACACCTCAGAGTGATTCTTCTAAAACTTAGCTATCTAATCATTCTCATACTCAAATCCTTCAACTGCTTGCCATCCTACTCAGGGCAAAATCCAAACATGACCCAGCATCCCTGAACTCATCTCTCACCTGCCTCTCCCTTGTTCACAATGTTCCTGACCCCACTGTCCTTCCTGCTGTTTCTAGAACCCACCAAGCATACTCCTTGCACCTCCTGTTCCTTCTGCTCCCTTGCTTCCTTCAGGTCCCTACTCAACTGTCCCCTCTACACAAAGACCATCCCTGAACACCCTATTGAGAAGTAACACTCCTCCTCCCTTAACTCCATTGCCCCTTATCCTCCTTATTTTCCCTCATAGCACGTACCAGGCGCTGACAGTCACGCCATAATAGTGTGACTATTAATAGTGTGACAGTGGCATGCACCGCTGTCTGCCTCATCATAGGTGCTCTCTAACCATGGGGAAATAGATTTATGGATGGACACCAGAAATTATAACAATGGAAAATGCATACAGCAGAGACATTTAAAAAAACTGCTCTGGGAGATTAGCAGGAGGTACCAATATAATGCAGTATGAGGTAGCCAGTCAATGAGAAAATTGGCATGAGAGTCAGGGGAAGGATGACCAGGACACAGTCACATGCTTACTATGCAGGTCACTTCGTGATTTCAGAGTGAGTGATTTCACAGCATGAGGAGAAGCTGCTCAAGATGGACACCATGACCTTGAGCAGAAAGGACACGCAGACCCATGGAGGACCTTAGCTTTCACACCATCTGGACTGCAGGGGGAAGGGACTAAACAGCTATTCCCATGAATGACTCATGGCTATCCAAGAACAGGCAGTCCATTTAGACCAGAGGAAGTATCTAAAAGAAAATGCCTTAGTCTTTATGCCAATTTTAAAGTTAAAAACTGAATACTTACAGTTCTGGGTTCAAATGTATAAAGAGCTCTGAACACTTTAACTTGTCCTAAAAGAGAGGGAAAAAACAACATATGGTCAATTCCTTAGTAACATGTTTTATAATATAACAGCATAACAGAATACATGTGCAAGTTATAAATACATGCAGTACCCTTATTGGGAGTAAGAACTGAAAACCTTTGGCTGATAGAATGTAAGCGTTATGAGAACAGGGGTCTTTGTTCCATGCATGAGATATCCAAGGATCTAGCACAGTACCGGGGACAAAGGAACACTCAGTAATTATCTGTTGAATGAATGAAAGAATAAAAGAATGAAATGTGCTCAAAAAAAGTCTGAGGCCCCTAGTTTAGAACGGCCTCTAACTATGCAATGATGGAAAAGCTCTCCGTCTGTGCTAGGCACATGTAACTACTGAGCACTTGAAATGTGATTCGAGTGACTGAGGAACTGATGTTTAAACATTTCATTCTAATTAGATTAAATTGCCTCACATGGCTGGTGACTAGCATACTGAACCATGCAGGTCCTGAACATCAGAAAATGAGAAATGACGAGATGTCCGTTAAGAAGGGACTATGTAAATCAACCCCATTCATCCACATAATGGAGTCATTAAAAAAAGAGGCCGTAGACAGATCTGCAGACTCTGGCAGAGCACAGAGCATACAAAACATCCAGTGGAAAAAATATGCCAAGTACCATCCCACTGATGCTGACAACATACTCACATACCCGGACAGGTAGCACCGATGACCAGGAACCCTCACATTCTGCTTTACAGGTATTGTTTATCTTCAATACACGTAGCATGCATTACTTTTATTATCAATGGAAGCAGCAGTTACTTTCACGGGGTTGAGGGGATAGGAATCATTCTTTCTTCTAAATGCCCTAAAGCAGAAGAGCAGCTCAGATCCCTGTTACTTAGTGTGTCTGCAAAAAAATATTGTTGCAGCTGAATTCAATGCCACTTTTTCCTGCTCTGCTGGGGTGGTGGGTGGTAACAGGCAGAAGAAAAGGTGAAAACTTTTTTGTTTGTTTAGAGTTTGCTTTTTACCCACCCCCACAGGCCTGAGTAAGGAGACACCAAAGGGAAGGAGGAACTGCTGAGAGAAATATTTTCTGCTGACCTGAGTGTCTCTCTGAGAGGGGAGACTTGTTATCTTGATTACTTCAAACTTTCCAAAGAGAAGTTACGCAAGGAAGCAGTCTACTCGTGACCAAAATCAATAATGACAGAACTTTCTTGTTCCTTTGAGGGAATGGCAGGGTGGGATGTGCTATGGATAATTTTGGAAACAAGAACCAATGTCAATTCAATAAGCTTAGATAAAATTCAATATAAAAACACCTGAAAAAATATTTGGAGTGTGAATAACCCAATGATTTTTGTAATTTTATCTTTTGTGATTGTCTTACTGAAAATGTTCACAACTACGCTCTGGCTGGTGTCATTCCATGGACTGAGTGCCGGCCTGCGAACCAAAAGGTTGCCAGTTTGATTTTCAATCAGGACAAACGCCTGGGTTTATGGGCTGGGTCCCCAACTGGGAGCATGTGAGAGGCAACCAATCAATGTAGCTCTCTCACATCAATGTTTTTCTCAATGTACATGCAGGGAGACCACCTTCTTCAGGCTCCCTCCACCTTGGCCATCTCTCACGGAAGTCTGGTCTCACACAACAAAGAGGAAAGTAGAGCTGGGAAGACTGCACGAATTGCCTGAAATCACCTTGCAATTCACCCTGAATTAAGATTGGAAAAAGGCCCAGTCACTTGCCTGATGCTCTACATGGCTCTCATATGACCTAGCATGTGAATGGTATTGAGGATTTCAGTAGGGCTGGTTTCCGGGTGTTAACAAGATAAGTAAACACCCGCAGCTGCTGGCCCCTGTGGGTTTTTCACTTTGCTGAATTCTCACCTTGCTAGTCACACCCTTTCCATCTCTCTGCACCTCTACCCTCCCCCTATAGAGAGGGGCTGAGTCCACCAGTCATCAACTAAACACTATTTTCCTCTGAAGTGAGGCTGACTCCAGATTTCAGTAAACGAATCCTCGTCCATCACAGTTGAGGCAAGCAGAGGGAACAGGATCTGGACAGGGCCTTGTACAGGGAAAGGGTAAGAGAATTTTCTGTTTCTGAGGTTTGCACAGCATGTATTGCTGCACCTCTAAGGCCGGGAAATAGCACTTAGGACATGGGGCTTATAAACTCAAACATAAAATTTCTAATCTACTTTATTCCCTGTTAGTGAAGGAGTGGAGAAGCTTATAGATAGAGCCACTAAGACAGAATTAAAAAGGGACTGCTCACTATAGCAGACAGACATAGAATAAACTGCAAGCAAAACGGCTTTTCAAACATCAGACCTTAGTTATCTAGAACAGATCAGCTATTTCGTTCTTTACACTCTGCTAAGACTTTGGGAAGCATGGGCCATCTGGGACTTCATTTACACTGGCTATGACGGTTCCCACATACCCACTCTGAGGGCAAAACTAAAAACACTGACAATGTCAAGTGTTAAGAACACAGAACAACTGGAATTCTCAGATACTACTGGTGGGTGTGTAAACTAGCACAACCACTATAGAAAATTATTTAGCAGTAGCTTTTTCTCCCATTCTGTAAGTCTTAAAATGCCTTTGAGATCTTAAATTTCACTTTCAGAAATGAAACATAACTTGAAAACTTTTGCAGCATCTTTTGTAGGACTAACCTCCAGGTCACTGTCACTATGCCCAGCATATGGTGAGTCTCGGTGTTTTTAAACTGCAGATCAAAACCTGTATATTATATATACAGTACATTGTGAAGCTAATTTAGTACTTTTAAACATATTAAGTAGAGCTGAAAAGATCAGAGCACACTGTACACGACAGAATAATGGTTTTGTAAAATTGTTTCATTGGGACTGGATAGATGGATGTTTATTTTAGACATCTGCCAATACACATTTTGTTTGGCATCATGCCAAATGACCAAATGTTAAAATCAGTATTTGCCAAAACCAAATGTTGCCTTTACAGATGAACTACTGAGAAACAAGAATAAATCTGAAATTTTATTTAGAAAAATAATTATGTTCACAATCTTAGTATGAAAATTTCTGGTAGACCCATTTTAAAAATTTGATATAAAAGGGCAGAAACCATAATTCCTCGGCACTATCAACTGCTGGCCTGAGACCTGTGTTAAAACTAAATGTTCTAAAATGAGGTCTGTGGAAAAGCAAAATAATTTGGTTGTAGCTCTGCCAGCGTAGCTGTTGCCTGCGGCGATGTTGCCACCAAGTTGGTAAGCTTTCCTTCCTCCCTCATAGAAAATGACTTCGGTCAAGACTTACCTCCTCTCTATCTGCCGGGTTGGGGGATTTGCTTAATGCTAGTGATGCAATTTCACTGAAGGCAATCCCACAAAGGACACACTGGCTTCCCCCAAATTATTAGCAATCACATTCTCACAACATTAATTCTCAATCTATACCTATAACCTCTACTATTTATATAATAATTTTTAATATAAAATTTTATATAATAAAATTCACAGCCTTCACAGTCACCATTACTTATAGTAATATTTTACTCAACAATAATAAATATACATTTAAATTTCCACAGGGAAATTTAAATTTCTGAGGGAACTTTCACATATAAAGCACAAAAGGGGATATTCAAAATAAGTCCTATTTAGAGAACTTACTTGTTTCTCACGGTAAATATTAAGATAACAGTACAAATGTCATGTTACTGCACTGGTTAGACACGAAGGTTACCAATGCATTCTACAGTTCTTGTTCAAGTGCAAGTCTAGGTGTGCCTAAAAGGACACTGAGGTAGGCACTCCACCCTTTGGGCCAAATAGCAGACTTAGGAAGAAATCTGAGGCTAAGGTATACCCCTGTGTACCCCTATAACTGTGTGCGTGTGCGTGTGTGTGCGTGTGTGTGTGTGTACCAGGTCATTAAGAAAACCGTCTTACTGAAGATCAAGGTCAAAAGAAGTTTGAAAGCCACTGCTCTAGACTATCTGATCAAATTAGGAATTTGCTGCAAAACAATGTCAAGAATAAATAATATTTCCTCAACTTTGTGAATTTTAAAATTCAGCTAGCATATAAATAATAATATTCTCCTCTCTGCCCCAAAACGGATAGTTTATAACCAACATCAGAGCTTTGGAAAAGAAAGGAAAGGAAAAAAATCATATAAACAAGGGACAATCATAGACAAATAAGAATTTACCATACACATGTATTTCTCATATTTGTCTAAGAGAATGCAGCAAGTATTGACTTCTTAATTCACATCCTGTGTGTATAAAAAAATGTGTCACTTTTGAATGTTCCCAGAGTAAGTAAAAGTTAATGTTATTTCTCTTAGGCATACTTAAATTATTTTATTAAACATGCATGATGAAACAGGATGTTTTCTGTTCAAAACCAAAACAGAAGGAATCTATGATAGTATCCAAGGGTCAAGCCCATCGTCTGATTGCTGGGGCGAAAGGAAACAGCTGGGCTCTGCTGGGCCAATACAAGGCTCCCCTGGGCTTTGTGGATTGCAAACGCCCAGAATGAGGTGGCTGGCTCAGAACACGCTTCTTGGTCATAATCTCTCTTCATGTCATTCCACAAAAGCCCACTGCTCTTGAAAATAAAAGACAGAAGCTATAATCCTCGAAAAGAAAAGCCATCATGCGAGTGCATCGATGTCCAAGAGTTTCCAATGTAAAGAGTAAGTTTCTTCCTTCATACTTACACTCTTGGATTAATTAAATCAAATCCGATGAAGTCTACTGGTATACATACCTTTCAAGGATATAACTAATAAAAAAGGCAATAAACATAATATTTTCATCTCTCCTTACTCCAATACCACTTCTTCCCCGCAACTTCCCTTTATCCAATCCAAAAAAAAGCTAAAAAATTTGAAACGTGTCTTGCTTTCAGCTGCAGGAATGGTAGACTCATTAAAAACAGTAGCCAGTGTGTTTTCTGACAAGAGGGTTCTGTTTATTAACAGTGTGCCTTTCTTATC